AGTTTTTATAAACATTTTGTCTGAATTCAGAAGTTTTCGACAACATGGGGCGTCGTATTTTTCTAAGCAATTCTTTGTCGTCTGTGTTTACCATTATTAATTGATACAAATTGAGGCAATCTATTTTTTTATGTTGCATTTCGATATTTATTTATTTACAGAAGAAAATGCAGAAATTGATAATATATGAAACAAAGACAATACGAATAAAAGTGCGTTATTGCACAATCAATTTTAAAACATTAAACATATTAAAAATACAAAAGTTATAGACACTTCCTTTAAAAAACATTAAACGCCATAAGAAAAATATCCAGGTCTTCAGTAAACTTGTTAAAATTTTTGTAAAATTTATACAGAGGGAAATAATCAATACTAGAGGTCGCCCAGCGGTCGAAATTCGACCGTAATTCATTAAATTTTTAAGTTTGACCGTTATTGAGGTTCTTTTGTCAAAAGAGTATACCTCTATAATCATTGCATATAATTTTTTTGAATTTTGTTCTATTGCGTCAGCTGCGAGCATGTACAAATACGTCATTATACATTAATTTTCGTATTATTTGAAAAATACGAACGATAGGAAAAATGAGGTACAGCTTGGCTAAGTCATATTGAAAAAACAATAACACGTTTTTTGACATTTCCTTGGTGTTTTTTTTATTGCTATACTGACCAGGTTTCACCAAGGTTACACAGCTAATTTGCCTATCTTTTTCAAATTACATAAAATTTAAATAAAAAAATTAGTACAAAAATGAAATAAAGAATAAGTGCTTCGTATTTTTTTATATATTTTGTATTGAAACAAAAAAAACCGGGTGGTTAAAAAAATAAATGCTGTGCAACTGTTGACTACAGACTTTTATGTGTTCAACATTCTGTATGAACGTAAACAATGAATGTTTTATTTTACTTAATTTATATCAGCATTACATAAATTTTATCTTTCTGTACTCCTTCTCCAGATGAACTTTAACTATTCCAAATCTCACACTCCTCCGTGAGCGCAATGTGCTTAAAAAGGGGTACTTATTAATATATAGATAATTAAATTTGGCATTATTTTCATATTTCTAAAGGTTCTGGTTGGCACAGCAAAATGTATACAATTAAGTATATCACTGCAGTCAATCATATGATAGATGAATTTATATATATATATAAAAAAAAAACACTCTTAACTTAAATTAACTCTGGAAAATATTATTTAAAAAGATCTTAACTTTCTTGATTAAAATTCTTTGCAAATTGTAATTGACTTTTTAATGTGTATTTCTCTAGGATTTTAGTTTCTTATCAAGAATTGCCGGGGGGGGGGGGGGGGGGGGGACTTTGACCTTTTTTTAGAAACAATAATTGTACATCTTTCAAAATGCATGTCTGCTTATCATCAGTTTTACTTACGCATTTATTCCCAGTAGTGTTTGGTTTGAGAAAAAGTTTGCTAATGGGACTGAATCCTTTAATGCCAATAAAATAATTTGGCATGTTGCGTGAAGCTTTCTATGCATAGATTCAAGCAGAAATTTGAAGCCTTCTCATTTTTAATTAAATAGACCTGCTTGAGACTCGCTAGAAGTTTTTACTTTTGCAGTCCATTCATGTCAAAATCAAGTAGCAGACTTCTAAAGCAACAAACCTGCAGTGTTTCCAGAACATTTTCTTTTAATGTTTGTTTAACTTGCCTGACTTAACCTTTCTCCCACGCTTCATTCTTTTCATCTTGAAATGTAGCTGATTTATACTAAGTTGGCCAGACGGGAAAGCCATTTTGTTAAGCCGTCGCCATTGTCGACTTTTACCAGAATGACATTTCAATCTTTTATCCGAATGCAATTGAAATTTCAATATTAGAAGTATCCCCGCTAACTTCCTCGTGAACTTTGAACTGGTTAAATTTAATCTGTGTGCATGAACTGCCTCGACTTCTTTCAGAGTGATCCATGAACGGTTCTTTAATTGTGGGAAAAAGATATATTGTATTCTCCATTTTTAATTGCGAGCCGTTTAACTTTGTGAATGAACGTTCTCGCCTACCCTGGGGTAGCTGAAACGTAATCCCTTTTCATCGAAAATATTTTGAATCGGGTTTTTTTTATCGCCATCACAATGCTGTCCTTATTCTTTTGAGTGATTTCTTTTCATAGCTTTTTTTAAACGCAGCTTATTTTACATTGATTTGAGTTGACGCCTATTCAAATCGTTGAGAGGAATTAAGAAGAAAAGTTATTTAATCGCCTATTGAATCCCTGTGTGGGTCAGTTATTAAGCGTTATTTGTTTCGAAACGAAAACTCTTTGTGGTATGTTAAGGTCCATGTGGAAAAGTTTAAAAAATAATTGCGTTCATGGCATTAATAACAATTATATTGACGTCGTAATTGAGTTTGGAAAACAAGTATCGGAAGCGTCAACTCTTGCCTTCCAGTTTATGTTGGTTAAATTTACTTTCTAATTGAGTTTGTTTCAACTCAAACGTGCCACTTTGGAATGTTTTCAAAATTGGATTGTTATTGTCTGTTTGAGATTGCTCTACTTCCGAAAGTAAGTTTTTTTCATTTTTAAAAAATCTCTATTCATGAATTTTTATATATTTGAATTTGTAGCAAAATTAAATTTGATTATATTAAAAGAAAATTGTTGTTCCTTTAAAAAAAAGTATTTTCCTTCATTTTGACAACTGGTATATTCCACGTTTAAATGCCGTACAATAGAATTAGTGATAATGCTAATGTTGTTTGTATGAGATAGCTCTACTTCCGAAAGAAAATTTTTCTTCATTTTGAAAATAATTATCCAGGAATTTTGCTTATAATTGAATTTGGTAATATTAAAAGAAAACGGTTGTTCCTTAAGTATTTTCATTCATTTTAACAACTGGTACATTCCACGTTTAAATGCTCTACAATAGAATCAATGGTATTATAATGTGGACATTGGTAAGTGAAAAATTTGCTTAATCCGAATTGTAAATGGGAAAATGTAGAAAGATTGAAGAAAGTAAATTTTAGATTGAAAATAAATTTTTTTTCATTAGCCATAAAGGTTTTGAATGAATAATTCATTTGATAAAATCTGGTGGTTTATTTTGGTATGCTGATATAAATCTTCCTGAAGCATGCCATATTACAACTCGCATAAAAATTGAACGTCGTATTGTCGAAGACAACTCAAATTGGTATTACGGTTAAGACTACGTAGTGTTTTATTACACCCTGTTAAATGGTTTTGAATACGATACTAATGTAATTAAAAAATTAATTATCCTTTCTTGATTAAATCCACTATGGAGAAAAATGTAATGGATTGTTAATTGCCATTAAATGCATTCCAGTAATTCCGTTTTTCTAGTCTAGTTCTATCAATGTATGAAAAGTCAAAGAAACTGCAAGAATGTTATTTCTCGCACACTTTTCAGTGCAATGAAATCTTAATAAAGCTCAGTGGAGGCGATTGGGTGAAAAAGGTGTGGGGGCAAAAAAATTTACTTGTATCTAAAAGTACCCGGGAGTATAGGGGATAAGCAACAAATTTTTAAAAAAATGTTACAAAATTAGCTAGCTTTCCCCAATACCATTGCTTTTTTTTTATGATTCCTAGTTTTAAACAGCTAAAAAAGAAGTAAAAATTTAATTTTTCCCAGAAAAGTAGGGGCGATCGACTCCCCTTACTCTCCGCCACGGATATAGTAGGGCAGGGCTTCAGAATCTTTGGCACTGGTAGCCCCTTTTTTCAGGTGGAAAAAACTTTCATAGCCCCATTTCCTTCAGTAAAAATTTTGCTGCCACCCAAACTTGAAAATAAATAAGAAAATGAAGTATTAATTATTGCTATCCAAGAAAAATTAATTAAAAATTATTTAGAAAACTAATGAAACCTTTTAAGTTGATATGTTTCTTTTAGTACTTTTGCTTAAAAAATATTAAAGAATCTGAAAAAAAGAAGGCTTTATAAAGATTTCCGGGCACGCCATTGGCAATTTAAGAAGCCCTACTGTAAAGGGAAAATTATTCTACGAAATTTAAAATTTTCGAACATTTTTTTTTTTTTATTTCGCTTCTACGGTAACTTAAGAGAGTAAGAAGAAAACCTCACAGAATTCAATCCACATCTATCTTTTCCAAAACTATTTCCCTCGGATTGCTTTCTATTTTTACCGCATAGTTTCTGAACAACCTTTAGATATACCGTGTTATTGTTTTTCTTTCCCAAAGACGATAATTCCGTTCGAGGAAAAAACGACCAGAAATTTTTCACCTCGCTCTCAACCTGTACAGATAAACGCTCATTAATAATTAATGAGAGATCAGTAGCGCTTCCAACCTTTTAATCGCATCTTGTTCTTCGAAAGTGAACAAAAACTGCCAGCTTCTCTCGATCAGAAGAAAAGCGGAGAGATGGCGTTTTAATTGGCGTCTTCGAGTTTTGTTTGTTAATGAGCCCTTGAGAACTTTTTTTGTGACGGAGAGAAATGGCCGCCGATAAAAGCGCTGATGCCGTGGAATCAAACTGGTCCTTTTCTTTTCCTGCTGCTTTTCTCTTGTGAAATGGAGTCGATGGGAAAAAGTTTCCCATGGCGCGAGTTCTTTCCTCTTCGTTGAAGCCATCCGTTTGACTCACCAATCTGGGTGGAAAGATTTTACTTAGTAGTGTAGTGGCGTACCGACCGGGGATGCAGGGGGGGGGGGATAAAGACACCCCGGGCGCCATAGAATTGAAACGTTACTGGGTTTTGCCATTTACAAAGTTAACTATGATGAGGGGGCATAAAAATAATACCGTGCTACCATTGCCATTAGTTTAGTCATTTTAGCATCCCGTTTTGGAAGCAACACGAGGGTTGTTTTGGGACGGACTTCATAATTTAGCACCGCTGTCAGATGACGAAGACGACACCTGAGCTGGCACCCCCTCTCCAAACTTCCGCACCACAACAGCGGGAGGACGTCTGACACTCTACGTATGATTTAATGTGCACCGAGCATAATACACGACGGATCCTCGGTGGAGTCGGGTTTCGAAGCCGGCACCTTCCGGCTCCAAAGACGAGACCTTACCACTAGGCCACCGAGGCCCGTAAGTGCCATTTCCGCTCGCAAAGCCAATGATGACGACGGAGGTAAAAATAATTAGATTCCCGGGACGCCGCTTATCCTCTCTACGCCACTGGTCATGGTGACAAAACGTTTGTCACTTTTAAAGTCAGTCGTTTATGTCACTTTTAAAGTCAGTCGTTTATGTCACTTTTAAAGACAGTTACAATGAGGGGGCACAATGACTATGTCCCGGGCGCCCCTTATATAAGTTAGGTCACTGATGATGACGGGGGGGGGGGCGAAGAATCATCGCAGCTTACCCTCCTTTACGCCACTGGTGTAGTGACAAAGAGCATCACTTTTAAAGTCAGTTACGATGAGGCACAATGTACTACTGGGCACCCTTTATGTAAGTTAAGGTCACTGATGATGACAGGGGGGGGCAGAAAGAATGTCGCAACACCCTCTCTATGCCATCATGGTGACAAAGCGTTTGTCACTTTTAAAGTCAGTCGTTTATGTCCGCTTTAAAGTCATTTTACATTAAGCTGTGAAAGCCTGTCCCAGCACCCCTTATAAGTTAGATCGCACTACAGTGATGACGGGGGGGGCAGAAAGTCGTGTTATGACCCAGGCGCAGCTAACCCTCGCTACGCCACTGTTGTATTGTGGAGAATTATATAGTGCAGTGCTTCTTGAACGTTTTCTTTCACGGTCCTGAAAAATTATGTTTCGACTTATTGACAAAAATCTAAGCAAATGCATTACGTAATGATAAATAAAAATATATGAATTCAATTTAAAATGATGAATAATTAAATGAATGATATTTTATATCAAACTGAATTTGTACTGTTTTTTACAGCTTTTGCGTCCCACAGCAATAAGCTCTGATTTAGCTTGTGTTTTATGAAGATAGTTGAATTCATTTGAAGTTAATCAAAAATCTTAGTCGTAATTAATCAAATGAGCAAACTGTCATTTAATAGATTCTACGCTTTCTTATATCTGTTCTTGTTTGTAGGGAGATGTGTGGACGGGGAAGGTATTCATGAACCACAAACCCATTGGGTTTAAAATCCTTAATGGATGACGGGTAGAGATATTCATGATATAAAAAATTATTCAACCATAAAAATCTAAAGATGGAATCGATTACTTTATTATTTCTTCAACTCTTTTCGATTGTATGACAATCGAAACGATTTCAGACGATTTCTTGGCTAGCTTGTTTAGTACTAATATGCAATGATGTTTATTGCATCAACTATGTCTCTTATATTCAGTTAGCTTTGCTTTTGTGCCTTCTTTTAAATGATTTCCAGGTTTGTCATACAGTTAAATAAATTCTTACTTTAGAAGTAGTTAGTACCATTCGCTCTTTCTACTGTTTCAAGAAACTGTAAACTTCTTTCGTTGTTACAAATATTGAAACTTGTCTTGTAAAAAGCAAGGAACATACGCGCATTAAATATTCGTGGTAAATTTCCAACCGATTCACTGTCGCATATTCTAAGGAATCGTGGTGTCAGTTGTCCAGAATCGTGACTGCTGTTAACGCTGTTGCGGTTATATTACGGTCACAGTTACTTTGAAAAGGGCTAGTATTATTTCCGTCTTGTAACTGCTGTATTCAATCTTGGCTAATTGCGGAGATGGACATACATAAGAATAGCTGAATAATTGGTGGAGAATTATGTATTTTATTATTTATTTGTTTTTATTTTTGTCCCTTTAAGTTAAATTAATTCGAAAAATTCTTGTTTGGTTAGCCAGTTTATAATTTCTTATACATAAGTGTATAATTAGTTACCGTGATTAAAAACTAAAGAGAATGCAATACCACTTCCGCCACTAAACTTAATTTCAGCCTGCATCATTCTTAACCGCATAATTGCCTCGACAAGAGGACATGAATTTAAAACAAAAATGTCTTTTTTCTAAATAAGCTGTATAGGCTTCTCTTTGCAGTAGAAACTAGATTACGGTTGGCGAATATTCTTAATGATACACCACTATTTTATTTTTTTTTTCAACTCATAATGCGCTGAATGTGTTAATAGAGCATTAAAGATAAGTGTTTGTTGCGTCGCACAATGAGAAAATAAAGTTGCAGGCTATTAGGAAGTCACTTTAAAATTGCCACGTGAAAATATGGGTCGTGAAAATAATGACAACCCTAGTTTTTGTCAGATTCTTTAATATGAACGAGTAAAAATAATTCAGAAAACCATATTTTTTGTGTATTTCATTAAGATTTCCCAAATAGATGTGTTTAATTAAATTTTCTGCGTGCAGATAAAGAAAGGATCGCGGAAAAAGTTTAGCTTGTGGAAATGGCTTAACGGATAATAATTAAGTAATTTTTGCTGCATCCCGCGATTTTCACAAGCTAATGTGTTTACTTTGTACTATTAAAGTGTTTAATCATTTAATGTATATATTTAAAATAATTAGCGAAACCTGAAAACCAGTCTCCCAGCCCCAACCACTGGACAGATTTCGATAATTTTTATTTCATATGAAAGCTTATGACGTATAGATAGATATGTCATCAAGGGTCTCCTGCCCCTCCTCCCCCTATTTTCGAGAGAAATGAAAAAAAATTCTCCATTGTACATTCTCTATGGGGTAAAATCTTGAAACAGCACCCCAGCCTCAACTACTGGACCGATTTCGACAATTTTTTTTCATATCAAAGCTTATGACCTCTAGATATGTCATCGATGGTCGCCTGCCACCCACCGCTCTCCATTTTCGAGATAAATCGCAAAATAAAACAACCGCCAATTCATTTCTCCAAGTGGCAAGCGTAACGGCTATTAATATTACTGGCGAACAGCTGGTCGCCGAAGGCGGCTAGTACTAATAAAGTTTTGCATATAACGATTCGCTTGGTTCACAGGTATTTGAAAACGTTGCATCTAAATAATGACTGAAAATAATCGGCACTCGGAGGGTTAAAGATCCCCGCTGTGCAGTATGCATCTCTTAATTAACTTATATCTTTCGTCAAAATTTAGGAGCTAAAAGAAAAGGCTATAAGCTCATTTACCATCCTTTTTTTTCTAACTCTGCGTCCTCAACCGTTGTTCTAATGGCTATTGTGTAGCTAATGGGCCTTCAAAGAATGCGTAGGCTATTAAGGCAAAGTCTTCTTACTGAACACTTGCAGATGGTGGCATATCCCGTTGACACCCGATGATGGACGACTGCGGGGCCCGACAAATCGGCCGAAATCAGGAAACTGCTGTCAAAATAAAATATTACATAATTGCGCGAGCGAAACTCTTGCTCGGTATTTATAACCGACTGGAAAAACATAATTGCTGGAGCTACCGGAGGTTTCGCTTTGCCACTTCTCTTTCTTATCCGGTGTTGAGTGGAGAAGAGTTGTTAAAAATAACCCTACTCCTTCGCTCTCTCTCCCTCACAGCATCGTTTTATGATCCTAACATTGTTTTGCAAAAAATGCTTCAGTTTTGGCAAGATTTCTGTCGACAGGCTGTTGTGCTTCAAGATGTGCCGTTTTCCGAACTTATCACGAGTGCGGGTGAATGGACTGTTGTTTTCAGGATATTGTTTTTCTGGGTTGTGATTCAAACACACGCACCAAAGAAATTAATGATTAGTATACTAACGTATACGCTGCGATTTTCTGGCTAAGCCTTTCCGGCCGGGTGATGCTATTTGGAGGGACCGGAGTAATCTGCTTTTAACCCCTTACCGGTGCAGTTTTCTGTACAGTCTAATTAGAGGACCTCTTTCTGTTTTGGGAATGTGCTGCCGTATTGAATCAAATATATCTCCACAGAACAGGGTTCCCACGCTCCTTGAAAATCCTTAAA